ATGCAGCTGGAGCAGCTTCCAGCCTCTAATTGAGTTTTAAAGGCTGCCAGCAGCAGGGCTGGATGCTTCGCCAGTGCCTTCCACCTACACCTAAACACCGGAGTCTCACGCCCAGGGGCTAAACACTGCGTGTGCATGAGGCCTAGCTGGTTTCTTCTCACCCTTAAGAGCAACCTGGGTTTGTTCATTCAGTGTTTTATATTTTCATTGTGCTAAATGTAAAATAGCCCATTTCTTACAGTTGCAACATCTGGGTAACTGAGCTGGCTATACACCAGCAGAATTTCCATATTTGTACAAATATTCTGAAAAATAATTTAATCTAGCCATCGAGTCAACTAATTTCACTAAAACTAAAAAATTTCACTAAAACTAATATTTAATCCAGAAGTCAAGTCAAATCTCGGATATCTTAGACAGGTTTCTTTTGTCACTAGAACATGCATATTAAAATAGGGGTGGAGCCACACCGTGTGACGTCATCACGCTCTGGAGGAAAAGCAGCCATCTTGTTGGTTTGAAACTTACCACAGTGTTACTGCTATGTTGTTTTAAATGCTTGCTATGTAAGTGCAATTTAAGTCAACTAACTTACTACTCTATGAGCTGGAAATTCTTCTTTTCATGTGGTGTTGTGGTTGCCTGATGGGGAGTTTTCTATCTGAAGTTTTATTTGGAGAAATATCCTGGATTGCTTTGTGAGTGTTTTCCATACAAGAGTGGTTGCAGTACCAGCTGGATATATCACACTGCTCATGTTGGCAATCCCACATGGTCTTTGTTGTCACTTACATGTACTGCCATTTTTTGAGAATGGGAGATTTTATGTTTAATCAGTGCTCCGATTTATTTTTTTCATGTTTTTTTTTCTGCCTATTTATGTGCAAGCTGCTTTGTCCTTTTATAATTCCGAGCACAGGTTTTCAGTATACATATTAAAATATGTGCAATTTCTCCTGAACAAAAACCATACTTACAGTAAGAATTTCTTTCCTTCCAGAAAACAATTCCATTCTGCTCCTTTGCATTTTCTCTTTTTGCTATAGTTGAAATTGATCATCACTTTGACCCCACTAACCATTGGAAAATCAAACAAACATTTCAAAAATGGAAATTTTCAAACTAAATTCTATGGCCAACTTTGGTCTTATTTTAGCAGATTTTGTAGCTTCATTATCAGATTTTAATGTTACTGGTTTTGAGATGAACACTACACCAGTAGCGTCCATAGGGGGGTGCGGGCCGCACTGGGTGACACCATCACAGGGGGTGCAGGAGCAGGATGCCGACACAGTGACAGGTGCCCCTGCCCCGGTGTAGCGGTAAAATGAGTATCCCCTGAAGCAACTGCGCATGTTCTGTTTTCAGGCCGAAGAAGCCAATCGCCGGCTCTGTGCTAAAGTCGGAGATAGGCTTCTTCGGCCTGAAACTGGCACATGCGCAGTTGCTTTAAGGGATACATATCTTCAAGGGATATTCATTTTACCGATACACCAGCACTGCTCCTTCCTCTCTGGAGGGGTGACATCACGTGTTACCGCACCAGGTGACACCAACCCTAGGGACGCCTCTGCACTACACCTCTAACTAGCAAAGTCAAACAATAAAATTCCCTTCTATCACATTATCGCACATAATTTATTATTCTTGACCATATAGTAAGAAAATGGTGTTTAATGGTATTTAATTTTATAGCCCAAAGCACTGTTCTGTGAAATCTAATAAAATATTTGTAACTCCAACTATGTGAACCTCAGTTTTTAGAATGCTGAATACTGACCTTAATATTGTCTGGATGTTGACGTTGATGATAGGAATAATGACTTTCCTGACTGCACTATGCACCAGCATAGTCAACAAAAAAATCAACTTGTTGGCATTTGATGACTCTGGTCTTCTAATTTTCTTGGAACATATTTCCAAGTTACCATTTTTGTTTCATACAACCAACTAAATATGTAGTGGATATAATATAGACTATATATATATATATATATATATATATATATATATATATATAAAAATATTAATATATGAGCTGTGTTAAAGGCTGTTTATTCCTGAAATTTACAACTGTCCAACCCAACAGCACAGCCCGGCTGGCTACCTATGGCAATTACAAAATACAAATTTTGATTGGGCAATAAACATAAGCAGGCTAATGAGTTCCTCTCTCCTGTCTACATGTTCCTTGGTGGCACAGCCTTATTGTTTCAGAGCACTGCCTCTCCCTCTCCCAGTCAGATTTCTGTTATGGAGAGGATTCAGAAGAGAGGCTGATAACAAGGAAGATTCATGTCCTACACTAGTTGGATTTTAAATTAAATGTAATTATTTTTAATGATTGTGTAATTACAAAAATTAGTTAGGAGTAACAGCTGGGAAAGATAGTCAGAGGATTCAAGTTTGGGTCAGGGCTGCGAGGCTCTTCAGATCAGCTCTCTGAAACCTCCCCTTGACCTAGCGACTTGTAGAAGTCTCTAGAACTCAGTGGGTGGGGGTGAGGAGGAGCTGGTCTGCATTCAAGCAGAAGGCTTGGCATGGGATCAGGACAGCCTTTAAGAATGACTGAGACTGCTCTGTAGCAGGAGTGTTTAGGTGGAAGATGTGAGAGCAGGAGCTGGAGTGTGGAGTCTGGGAGGTGGTGCAGGGAAGGGGCCTGCCTCCAGGAAGGATCTTGAGGGAGGGAAAGCTGAACCTCACCCCTAAGAGAGGACCATCTGTGGAGCTAAGGAAGGAGCCAGCCCAGAAGGAGGGCTGAAGGCAGCTACCAACCTGCAGCTTGCAGAAGAGGAACAGTGAGTACTTCACAACCCCTGAACTGGAGTAGGGGAGAGGGCATTTGGGTGGGAAACCTAACTAGCCCCCAGCTGCACTGGGCTTTAAAGATGCAGACTCTCGATCCCCTTGTCCAGGGATTCCCCCAGAAAGCTGGATAGAGGAGAACTATCTGGGGTTTGGGGTGTTACATCAGGAAAGGCTGGATAGCTCTCCAAAAAAGAGAAACCCCTTCTGTGCACTTGCACAAATGGAGAAAGTTTTCCTCCATTTAACAGTTCCTTGAGCATTCCATGTATCCCACATCTCCATCCAAGTTCAAATCCCCTAATAAAATCCATAAAAAACAAGTTCAAGGACTCTTTACTGTCTCTGAAGTGCAAGTCTGGAGGGGAATGTGTGTTTCCTGGCTGTTCAGGACAATAGGGGGACCCAAATCTTCAACAACTCCAAAAGGGGGTGGTGCTACACATATATCTGCCTGGAATCCAGCTTTAAAATCAACCTTACCTTTCAGGCTTGGCCCTATTAACACATTATGATGTTATACCACAGGGTAGATTAACTATTTTTAATGCAGTTTTAAACCCAAAACCAAAAATGTAATATATTGCAGCTTACCAATCCTTTGATGTGGTGGCTGTATTGTAATGAAAATAGGAGAAAGAAAGCATAAAAAAGAAAACGAATACAGCCATCACATATAAGAATTGGTAGGTTGCAATAAACAAAATGTTTGCTTTTGGGTTTAATAAAACTTTCATTTAAAAAGCAAAAAAAAAAAACATGGCAACAGAATTCCATCCAACAACAGGATTTAGTGATGCAGTAATCTTTATTTAAGATTACAGACTGACACATTAAAGAGACGTTATCAAGGTTTAAAATCATATTATGCGTCTCTTCTTGCCGTGCTTGTCAGCAGAAGAGGGTGACATCTGGTGAGCTTGCTTTGTTCTCCTTCAGCTACTGGTGGGGGCTGGGGCAGGGGCAGCAGCAGCTGCAGCCACAGGGGGAGGAGCAAAGCATCCACGCTTGTGCCACTGCATATCACGAATACGGCGAACGGACTGAATTTGTGGCTGGTTGGCTTCCCAGTCATTCCAGTGTCTGTACTCGTTCTTCTCAAAGACATACTGACGACCTCTGTAGCCAGGGTATTCATAACCTACCCATCTGAAATAAAGAACACACTGGATGAAATTCAAATGTCAGGTTATGTTATTTCCAAGCAATACACAAATGGCAAAATTACCACTTTGTATTACATATGTTATGTGCACCAATTTACGAGATGAATTACACAGTAAAACCCATTTTGACTATTGTGTGCAGCCTTGAAACCAGCCTGGTCAGATGTTTTTTCTACATAGCCTTTGCAGCATGTCTGGCAGGGTTTCTCAACCAGGGTTCCATGAACCCTATGGTTCCTTCAGAAGTTGATATGAGTTCCATGCTCAATGAGCCATTTCTTCCTCTCAGTTAAGTTCCCAATTACACCATTGATCTTTTTAGTTATCTGTAAGGAGAAAATTCTTCTCAATGACCACAAGTGTAATGAGTGTTCTTTCCGCTGACCATTACACTAATGTATCATGAGGTGTGGATATAGTCATTTTTAGCAGGGGTTCCCTTAGACTGAAAAGTTATTTCAACGGTTCCTCTGTGTTGAACAGGTTGAGAAAGGCTGGTGTAATGCTTCAGAAGTCACTCCTAGCCTTAATATTGGCTGACGTCCCTTTACAGCTACAGTAAAATGTGACTCTGCTACCTTGCAGTTATCCAGGTTCTCTGGAAGCAGGAAAAGTCTTTGTTGTGATCAATTTGACAATGAATTACTGCACATGACAAGCAGCTAGAAATATGAGTGAGGTCTTGTTTTAAAGCCTTTTTACTGCTAGTTAAGAATATGTAAAGTGTTTAATGTCTTTTGTCTGGGCACCGGTGCACTTTAAGTTTCTAAGTACAGAAGTATAGGTGTAAATGTATAATTTGTGCAAAATTACATTTGTTCCTGTATATTTATTCACAAACAACCCTGAATAGGTTTTAATCGGATTCTGCTTACAGTACGTTGTACTGTATAATATGTATTTTAATTTGATACCCACAACATGTGAGTGAATTTGTTTTTTTAGTAACAGAGTGCAAGAATTAAAATTGTCAATTAAATGTTCTTACGTTCCATTGAGAACTTTGATACTGGCTACACGGTCCTGGAAGCCATGAGCCCACAGACTGGGTACATCATCATCCACAATCTCCATTTTCCTTCCATTGTAGCCTGCATTCTCAAAAAGGTGGATTTTGTGGTCAGCACTGTCCTGTAAAAAAAATTAAAATGTATTAGTAAAGATTTTGGATTAGCAATAATTATTCATATATAAGATAATTTAAAACATAAATAGCAGCCTAAAGTTGTCCATAAAAACAAGGCAGTTGAACATGCAGACACTATCTGAGTGCCTTTTCCCACTCCGGTCTGCTGGACATTTTACAAACATGAATGTTTATCTCACCTAAATTCTCCTGTTCCTGGGAATGTAGAGTAGAAGTATAAACAGAAAGGTAATGTGGGCATATGTTCCCAGCACTGATTGTATCATGGGGAAGAAAATACTAATAAAAAATAAAATTTCTAATCCACCCAATTAACTGGGACCAAGCGTAGCTACTGTATGAAAGCTTCATGGAGGCCTACAATAGATGTACACAGGGGCGGACTGACAACACATGGGGCCCCCGGGCAATATTGGATTATGGGGCCCCTGTGTCCTCGCCCACACCCAAAAAAGCCTATGAAAAAACCAATGAAAGGTACCAGGGGCATCTCATGGGGCCCCCTACTGACCCCAGGCCCTCAGGCAGTGCCCGAGTGCTCGAATGGTCAGTCCGCCCCTGGCTGTACGTTAGTTGTCTTCAAACAGTTGTTCATGCTTATGTATCAGCATATGTTGAGCTTGTACTGCTACATTTTTTGGTTGTGTTTTTACTGGATATATGTGATGTTCTGTAACATTTACTGTGATAAAGCTCCATAAACCATGTACAAATTTCACACTAATCATAAAAATTAGAACAGAAATAGTATGGGCCTTTTTATTTACATGGAGACCCCTGGCATTGCTCTATAATCTGGTATTTTACATGCAATTAATATATGTATTTTTCATTTTTGTTTGTATGTTTCCATTATAGACTTATGTCAGAAACAGGGAATTAACTAGCATGCACTGTTAACTTTATTACAATGCCATTGGTATACTAAACCATTTTTAGGCCCCGTATACACAGCTTGTTGTGGGAACTCGCCTTCCCTCTCGCGATTTGTGTGAAAGATTCTCACGCAATTCCACATGTCACGCGCAAGGCAGCCCATTCATTTTAATGAGCTGCCCTATGTGCATTTACCACAGCAAAGAAGCTCAGGGGCCACATTTTGGATTTCTTGGATTTTACAAACACATTTTGCTGCAATTCTCCCCAAAAAAATTTTCAAGTGACGATCGCAGCAAAATCACATCACGTTTGGGGTGCTTTGTAGGATAATTGGCACCCAAATGCACGTTTTGCCACGATTCCTAATTGCCTAAGTGTGAACAGGGCCTTAGTTTGTTTTTGGTGGTAGGAAATGTGAAAAACAGCAACCAATGTCATGGCAAAACTGCCTGTTTTTCCTTAATTTTGTACTAGCTGTTATTGCTAAGTTATGCTTTCCTTGGCATACTTTTTTATTAACATTTACTATGTAAAGTTTCTATGCATTTCTTTAACTATAGTGCAGTGTTCCCTCAAACAGCACCTTATTACTGAACTCACAATGTTCAAGGGACGGATGGACATCACATAGTCACTTCTGTGGCTGTTAGACCAGGTGTCCCATCGTGGATAGTCGCCCTTCTCCAAGACAAACTGTTCCCCGCCAAATGCTTGACGTTCAAAACTGAGCCATCTACAGCCAGAGGACAAAGAAAATTATGATATATTCTAGGTTTATTAAAGTAGTGACACATAGCTCTTGTTAAAGTCATATCCTATGCAGTGTCATGCAATTAAAGCACTATATGACCTTACCCCTATTATATTGTAAACCCAAGAACAAATATTTAAAAATATATTCTTCAGATTTTTTTAACATATAAGAAAGTAATTTTAACATATAATTTATATATATTTGTAAATGCATTCCAAAAATATGGATTTGTATTTTTAAAGACATTCAGTATATTTTAAATGTATTTTTAAAAATTTCAAATATATTTTTCTTCCATATGGGGGGTCAGAATAAATTTTGGAGATTTTATATGTGACCCGGCCAATGGTTCTCTTTTGAATGCTGTTAATTTACTAAAACTGGAGAGTGGAATATCTGGTGCAGCTCTGCAAAGAAACCAACCAGCTTTCAGGTTTTTTTTTGTCAAAGCTTATTTGAGTTAGAAGCTGACTGTCTACTAGAACTAGAGAGTGCAATATCTGGTGCAGCTGTCTTTGGTAATCAACCACAATGAGACAAGTTGAGCAACATGTCAGCTATTAATATCCATTGGGTGAGTTGCATTAGAATCCATGTCAGTCCCAGGACTACAGAGAATTAGCAAATGTGTTCCTTCCTGTCATTCTCTAGGGTAGTGCTGATATTTGATTCATGGGATGTGTACTTTTAAAAACAAGCCCCTCTAAGACAACCTTGAGTCCACAATCATTAGTTCTGCCAGTTTAGCTTTTTTACACCCTGTCTATGGTTTACCTTATTTTTATAAACTTGTCCTGTGCAAAAAAATGTGTGCTCATCCCCTAAACACCACTGGGGTGTCAGTAGCCATGAAACACATTACTATCTGGGGTGATTAGCAATATTATTAAATGATAAAGATTACAATGTTTTAGGAAAGTGTAACATGACAAATGGAACAATGGTTGTCTCATACTGCTTGCCAGAACCCTTTTTAATTGAGTGATCTTGGTCTTTGTTTATTTAAAAAAAATCTCAAGATATTAGGCTCCTCTATAGGAAAATGCAAATATGAGATTTAAATTCATACTGCATTTTATGGATGCCAGTAAATGATCCTAATCTTATCACAGTGTTCTCATCAAACTGTCTAATTAAAAAGAACCGACTTTTCAGTCATATTAGATTGTAAGCTCCAAGGAGTAGGGCCCTCTTGTATTGAACTGTATTGTCTCCCTTTATATTGTAAAGCGCTGAGCAAACTGTTGGCACTATGTAAATCCTGTATAATAATAATAATATAATAATATTGTTGTGAACACCCACAATGGCTTTAGGGCACATTTATGAGCTTAGGAGCACCGTTTTTTCATTCCAGCAGAAACGGGGTACTTTTTATTCACAACAGTAATTTTATTTGGCAATGAGCCCAGCAAATGTATGTATGAATATTTATACTTGGCCTTGAATACACACGAGCATTAGTTCTCCCAGTTTAGTTATTAATTATGTCCTGCCATAAACCCTCTTCCAGTAAACACAGCTGACATAGATATTTACAACCAAAAAAGCAACAAAAAGTTTATTAAAAGTCAAGACCCAGCACAGTGAGAAATATATGACTAATTTAACTGTCAAAACAATGACTTAATGCAGTGTGATTTGTGGTAAATCATACATCTCTGTACTGATATTACCTAGGAAACGAAAACACATAGCTTCTGGCTTCTGATTGTGTGCACTAGGGTTAGAGAATTCATATCCTTGGCAAATCTGCAAGAGGTCCTTGGATGGATAATTTCTTTGCAATGCAATTAAATTGCTGGGGTCCTGGGCTAATTTCCTTCAAGGGACACTATCATCACAGGGTTTGCATATAATTCTTCTGTTCATAAGGATTGCCTCCTGACATTTTTATTCCACAACCCAAAAATACACTAGTAGGGGACAATGAACCATGATGTGTTTGAAGCTAGGTTCCCCCCTATTGATATGCAAATGAACCCGTTTGACTGGTTTATGAACAGCATAGGAAGCTACTTACAGGAAAAGAGGGAAGGGGGTAGGGAATTAGGACTTTGAAAGAGTTGTTCTGGACTTTGGGGAGGAAAAACTTGTTTTGGATAGACAAAGAAGGACACACTTGTTCCAAACACAGAGGACAAAGTAGTTGGACTTTGAAGGAACCATGAGAAGATTCCATCTCTGGGAGAGCCCAAGTTGAGAAGCTGTTTAGTATACTTATCTCATACATATTGTACCTGCTTACTTGCTAGGAAAATAGTCAGCTTGTGCATTTTGTAGGCATATTTTGTTACACGTTCCATGCTATGATTTGTGTTTTTTCTGTAGTCTTATGTGCAGCTTTTTTGTTTAGTAAAGCACATTATTACACTACAGGGGTCTACATTTTGGTGTACCTTTCTTTGGCTTTTATCACAAGAACCTTTAATAGACACCAAGCAAAACAGGTGTGAATGGATCATTGTACACAGTAAAGCACCTAGGAAGGTGTTGACCTTATTTAAATGAGTAATGGAACTGTGTGTTTTGGAGTGCATAGAAAACAGACAGAGACAGTAACTTGAAAGTTCAGTAGCACTCCACACCTCATATATCAGATTGGGTGTGAGATGTCATTAAGAAATGTGAGAATAATTCTTTCATCCTCTAATTACCAGATCAAAGCTACAGTGTAATGTGTGGGCAGAGTTTTCTGTGGTCCAATTCCATCACAGTAGCACTTTTTAGATTGTAAGCTCTCATGAACAGAGCCCTCCTAATTTATGTATTGATTTGTATATTAACTGTACTGAATCCCTTTATTTTGTAAAGCATTGTGCAATCCTGTATAATAATAATAATAATTTACTCACGGTCCAGATTCCACCTGGATGGATCCAACTTTCTCAAGTCCTTTCTCTGACAAGTTCTGGCACTCCCCAGTGAGCTCACACTTCTTACCCTGGAAGTTCTCCAACTCAAAGAGTGTGATCTGAAGAAAAAAAAGAAATAACTGTTTTTATCCTCTTTTTTTTTAATTTGCTTTGGTGAAAACCATATTTTACACAGCTCTCTACAAAAATTCGACAATTCTGACAATTGTTACATGGCCAGCTCTGACCACCTGCTACAGCTGTATTATGATGCATCATTCCTTTCTTAGAAAATACAGTGGGAGCAAAGATATTGCCTTCTTTGTCTCCACAACAACCTCACTCAGGTCAGAAATGCACTGTCCTGCGGAGATCCTACTACTAGACATATAAACCACTGGAGTCCAAATATAACCAAAATATCATATTCTATATGTTCAGATAAAAGTACCATGTACTGTATGTCCACTTCATAACATTTTATGCCTATTGATGTCAGCGAAGTGCTTACCCCTGGAAAGTGAAAATGCCTTTTAATTTTTGCCAACGCAGGATGGATACAAAGGACTTACGATCCAGAAACCGAAGCAATATGTTCTGCTCCCTCTGGAGTTTACTCACAATACAATATGTAAACAATTTAATGGGAAGAGTGCAAACTTGGTCTGATCCAGTGGCAGTTTTTTGAGGTTCTGGGCATAGCTTCATTATATTTGTTTTTAAAAGTGGGGCTTGATGGCCCATTAAATATTTTTTTGTTTATAGGGTAACAGTAACAACATTTTTATATGCCCCCCCAGCCCCAGCATAAACTACACAAAACTGCCTGCTCCCCATCACATTTTTTCATATCTATGTCCCATTCAGTCCAAGCTGTTTGTAAAGAAGATGACTATGCATTGTGCTATCTATCAACTGACCTTTCTTTTGATAGCTATTTAAGGCATATGCATGTTTTCTTTGGGACTGGAGAGGAAATATATGTGAAAAATGGGAATGGGCAAGCCATGCAAAGTAAAACTATTAAAATGCAGCTAAGGCCTGCATAGCATATGATAACTATTATAAGAGGGAGCCACATGCAAATTTTATTTTGAAGCTACAGATATCCTGTCAAATCAATTCTCCTCTTCCATGGACTGTAATATATATGCAAACCTTTCATAAAAATGGAACTAGAAGGCAAGTATTAGAATATGTGTCAGTTGTTTCTATGTGTCTGTATCATTGCTGGGGAGATTCACCCTTTTTAGAACTCCTGGTGACAATTGTCATCTGGACAGAGTAATAGAAAATCCAATCTTTTACAGTTGTCACTGAAACAGGTATAGAGAGGAAATCTTCCATCGATGCCACTTGTTTAAGAGGGGACCTGCCCTTACTTTGAAGAGTTTTGTCTACTTCCTGTGGTATCTCTGAGCAAGGAAGTGAAAGGAGAGGCATGGGAAAGCAAAAATAGGTAGTACATATGACCCTCATGCTTCTATGACATTTCTTTCTTGCCTCAGTCCTTTAGTTTCTGCAGTACAGATACTTGAACTATCAGGAAGGAGCCACTAATGGTCCTCTCTCTGTTTGAAAGTTTAGAGGGGGTGGATACAACTCCAGCATTCCACACCCTCTTTCAGTCCCTCTCTCTCTCTTGGCAACAGGCACACACCCAAGCTACTAGCTTGAGCAGGCATGCTAAAACTCAGAAGTGGAGGCATGTGAAAACCTGTGCAGCCTCTTCTCCCCTCTGCAAGTCTCCACCACCTCCCCTGTGGGCTTTGATTTCCCCTGTGCTCCGATCTCATTCCCATCACCTAGCAGCTTTCAAAGCCTGCATCAGCTTCTTCTCCAGCTACTGCTGGGGAAGGGGAGGGGGGGTAAATTGGGTTGTCAGGATGGTGAGCAAGGGGGGGGGTGTCAGTAAACATTTCTCATGCTCAGTGATCCCCTGGATGAACACAGGAAATGCTCTCTACACACACATCCCACAGTGTTCATTTAGAAGGAGGGCCATATAATTTTTTGGTCTGGGGGGGAGTGAGTGTCAGGCACCATTTTGTGTCAGACAGCGCATTCACTGACTTTTTTTTATCCTTTACAGATTAAAAAAAGAGAATGCACTGCCTACCACAGGATGATAGCCAAACTTACTGGGCAGGTGCATAGGGCACCATCTTGAATATTTTTTGTTAACCAAGTATACTGGACAAGGGAAGGGGTACTGTGCAGAGTCCATACATACAGGATGAGAGATACTGAGAATTACACCCAGCATTAAGGGCAAGAGAAGTGGTATTGTGCAGAGTCCATAAACACAGTGGGAAACCCATGATCCATGTTTTGTGCACCACATTAAAATCGCACTGCCCTTGCGATCTGCAGTTGGTATAAGTGCCATCTTAACAACACCCAAATGCAGGTCGCAAATGCAGTGCATTTGCCTGCCCCTGGTCACATGTTACAAAACAACCATGTGATCTGCTAGCAGTTTGGTTCCAAAACTGGTGCATGCATGACTTTGTTGTGATATGGTCCAATTTGAGTCCATTCAAGATGAATGGGCCCAAATCACACCACACTGAATCATATGCGAATTGAGCAGGAATGCAGTGCAGTTCCTGTATGATTCATATGTGTTTCATAGTGTGAACTGAGGCTTAATCCTAATGGAACCCCTATGCACTGGAAACCACACTATTCAGTTTCCCTGCAGGCATGTCCTTTTCCCTGCATTTTCAATGAATGGGCTGCTGTGCCCAAGCAAACGCGACTGCCGAAAACTGCATAAATGTTAACTGGAGGTTAATCTGAACAGAACGGTTTATACTTTCCATTTTACCAAAATAAAAAGGACAAAGGCATGCCACTGAGGGCAGCAGACAGTCCAGTCTTGCTCTGGCACTGACAAACATGTTGTGGTGCCAACTTCTGAGTCAGAGAGCTGGGGGGTAACCCAGTGAGCACCACAACATGGCTGGCAATGCCAGGCTGGACTGTCAGTAAAGCATGACATAGCTGGTGCGATTTTCTTTCCTGCAACCACGGGTTGCAGGAAAGAACATTGCCTGATTCCCCCATCAACACAATCGGTGTTGATGGGGGAATCCCTCCTGAAGAGCTATTGTGTTCTCCTGAGGGAAGGAGTGGGCATGGGGAGCTGTCCCTGTGGGGAGAACACAGTGATTATTGCTAGCAGCTATTGCTGCTGACAGTAATTGGATCCTGAAAATCTGACATGATGGTTGTAAGTTGATTGATGGATCAACTTTGTACAAATTAATTCGACCTACCCATATATGGATCGAATCTCATCTGGTCCATTCTGAACTGGCCAATATTTGAACTATGGCCAGCTTAACACAAGCAATGGAAAACAACTCAGCTCAGCTTGAGGGAGAATTCACACAGTTACTGCTCCGGCCAATCTGTATTGCCAGCCCCTTAGAGGGCAGTGTGGGTGCAATTCAGCACATCACACGACTCTTTTTTTTTGTACAAGCTTTATTTAAAGTGTACAAAACATACCCCTCATTCACCACAATGTCAGGCAGGTGCACTGCCTGACAATGCAGTGCGATTCGGCCAGTGTGCTGTGATAAAATGTAGCATGTATGCATCTTAACGCAGCACTAGGCTGCACTGTAGTGTGAACAGGACACATAAGAAACAATTGTTTCCTGTGTGTCCCTGCAGTGACAGACCTTTTACCATATGATAAAAGGTCTGTCACCACATATAGTGTGCATTGGGCATCTCAGTCATACTGCCAGTACCCACACAGTCTCACTTATGGATTCTATGAACAGAAGAATGTCAGCAGCAGTAGTAACTGTGTGAGGACACTCTCTCTGGGTCTGGGAGTGACTATGCCAAAAGACAGAAGAGGGACACACCTGGTTGGAGTTGGACAGCAGTTCATTCACTGTGGCAGGCTGACTGGCAGCTACCCTACCATGACTTCAGCGCCCTGCACTCCAGGGCATAGACAAAGCCCCTCCCCCAAGCCCATAGGTAATTAACTCTATTTTAACAGAAAGGGTGCACTTCTCAGAGGGCTGGAAAGATTTGTAGATACTAGCAGCTCATAAGGATTACGATTAAGCGAAAAAAAAAAAAAAAGAAACTCACACTTCTCTTTGAAGGAAAACATCATCAAAGACATACAGACACCAAAGGAGAAAAAAAAAATAACAGGGTTTTAAATCATCCGATACTAAAAAAAAAACAATATACTGTAGGGCAAGACAAAAATCACTGATTAATGTAAGAAAAAAATATGAATGATGTATAAAAATAATAGGAACAAGCAGTTCTTCTAAACTACAATATTTCTATCAACCATGGTTCCTTTTTTTTAAATAGATGTTATTACCATTCTAAAAAAAAAGTTGGAATAAGTAGTAGAAGTTATGACTTTACCTGACCGCTACCTCCATTTTCTTACACATAGAGTGAAGGAAATAAGTATTTGATCCCCTGCTGATTTTGAATGTTTGCCCACTCACAAAGAAATGATCAGTCTAAAAATCGAATGGTAGGTGTATTGTAACACTGAGAGACAGAATAGCAACAAAACATTCAAAAGAAATGCATGTCTAACAAATTATGCACTGATTTGCATGTTCATGAGGGAAATAAGTATTTGATCCCCTATCATTCAGCAGGATTTCTGGCTACCAGGTGTCTTTAATGCAGGTAACAAGCTGAGATTAGAAGCAGTCTCTTAAAGGGAGTGCTGATAATCTCATTTTGTTACCTGTATAAAAGACACCTGCCCACAGGAACAATCAAACAATCAGATTCCAAACTCTCCACCATGGCAAAGACCAAAGAGCTGTCCGAGGATGTCAGGGACAAGATTGTAGACCTACACAAGGCTTGACTGGGCTACAAAACTATCGCCAAGCAGCTTGGTGAGGTGACAACAGTTGGTGCAATCATTCACAAATGGAAGAAACACAAAACAACTGTCAGTCTCCCTAGGTATGGTGCACCATGCAAGATCTCACCTCGAGAGTATCAATGATCATGAGAACAGTGAGGAATCATCCCAGAACTACACATGAGGATCTTGTCAATGATCTCCAGGCAGCTGGGACCACAGTCACCAAGAAAAACAATTGGTAAC